AAATTCGGATTTACAGGATTTAGTAAATCCTACTAAAATTGAATCCAATCCTATACCAAACACCCCCTTGGATTTAGGCGGATTTACGCCGTAAATCCGGATTTGCACAGGCATCGGATTTAAGCGACCTCAAAAAACCGTTTGGCTGGATTTAGCGTAAGTCCGGATTTAGTAAATCTTGGGCTCTTAAATCCTGAATTGTGTTTGGTATGACAATTTTTAAATCCTGTTAAATCCAGAAAAAATTTTGGCAAGAGATAACAGGATTTAAAACGGTTGGAGATTTAAAATTGAATTAACTAATTATTTTGAAATAACTAATTATTTAAATAATATTTCTACTAATTATTTATTTAATAATTTAATTACTATTTTATTAGTTTTAATTATAAATTTTATTATTAATTATCTCATTAATCACTTAAGAATTATACTGCTCATTAATTATTTAATTAGTATTCATATTATTAATTATATGTTTAATAATGTCTCGAGACAATGGTAAATGTATTTAGATTAGGTTGTGATTAATTGAAAAATGATGCCTAACCTATATTGGATCTGCTTATCTGCATAGAATGGTGGAGCATACTTGATACAAAGGAACTTTCAGAAGCGTCAAAGAGCTTTGGAAGATGAACATGTATTAGTTCAGTCTGAGGTTAGTTCTACATAATGTTATGCATATAAAATTTTTTACGATGCTTGGTTCTATGATGTATCTATGTGTAGGGCTACTTTGGTTTTATCTGAATTCGGATTCATTTTTTGGCTTTGAAGATATAATTCTTTTCGGTTGTTTAATATGCACTATGTCTGCAATTTATCATCGTCGTATTTCTAATATTTTCTAGTTCCAACGTGGGCATTTATTTTTGTCCGAGTAGCGCACTTGAGTTCTTGTCAATATTTTATGTTGGACCTCTGTTTCATAACTTCATCTGCCTTGGCAAAAAATACCCTTTGCCATTTTTTTGTTTTAAGTGCAAAATTTTCATATGAATCCCATGCTTTACATTGCTTTTGTCACAAAGATTAAACATTTCTCAACACGTGTGCAATTAATATTTAAAATTCCAGCAGGCATTTGTTGCTGTGCCTTATCATAAATTGACATTTTTGTTCGTTTTCAATGCACTATCTCCTGCTTTGATTATTTCCTTCTGATTCTTTTTCTTCTCCTTCAGTAATTAAAAACTTATTCTACCTTTGTTTGTTGTTTAAAAAACCCTTTGGTAATTGGGATGGCATTCCTTTGATGTACGCCGGGAAATGAGGATGGGAATTTGCTTTTAAAGGAGCTCTAGAACAATGAAGGGGAATGAAAGAGTCGATGGTTTCACACTAAGTAATGATACTTATTTCATTAAGTCGATTGCATAGAACTTATTAAGAATATATATATATATATATATGACCCTGATTGAAATGCATGTATCTATCTTATACGCTAAGGAGATGGTGAGAAGATTTTAGCCAAAATCTAGTACTTGGAGGAATTAAGAAACTTTAGTGCAGGTTTAGCGTGGTAGTTTTCGTTTTGTTTCTTTTCATCGTTCAATCAAATTCTTTCATTTGGAAGCACTTTTATTAAAATTTAAGCAATTCCATGCAAAAATTTATGTGTGGTCGAATGAACTAGGAAAAAAGAAGATTGTTCGGAGGATACTTCGTATATATTTTCTTTCTACATGCTGTTATGTTTCCTGATTATGAAATTTTTTATAGTTTGTGGAACTGAAGCTTCATTTGATTAGTCTTTTCTTCTGCTGATGTTAAAAAATCCACTGTACTATAATTTTAAATGGCATGGGAAAGCACAATGTATACCCACCAATTCACCACTTAGGCATGTGCCCGGCCTTGCTTAGCAAGCCTGAAAAATGCACTTGCCGAATATCTTGTCCATCTTTGTGATGATATGAAGTACTTGATGCAGACAACTAGATAGAAAACCAAAACGGAGAACACAATGGCTAGTAGAACTTTTCTCGATTCAAATTTTAGAAAGCCAACACCAAACAGACCACAAAACAAACGAAAGTTAGACAAAAACGTAACTAAAATAAAAATAAAACAAACTACCATCAGAACAACCAACTAGTGGTCACCTCACATGCAAAAAAATAGTAGGTAAGATAATAAGTGCTTAAAAACATGCAAACCAAAGGTCCACCACAACAACTTTGGGCCAATGTCCACCATAAGACTCCTCCGGCAAATGCTACCAAGCCGGCCACAACACTTTCAAGAGCTTGAGAAGAAAGATACAAATGGGGTGGAAACTTTTGGAGAGAAGTAGTTAAGAAGCCCAAGACGAAGTATCCTCCGAACAATCTTCTTTTTTCCTAGTTCATTCGACCACACATAAATTTTTGCATGGAATTGCTTAAATTTTAATAAAAGTGCTTCCAAATGAAAGAATTTGATTGAACGATGAAAAGAAACAAAACGAAAACTACCACGCTAAACCTGCACTAAAGTTTCTTAATTCCTCCAAGTACTAGATTTTGGCTAAAATCTTCTCACCATCTCCTTAGCGTATAAGATAGATACATGCATTTCAATCAGGGTCATATATATATATATATATATTCTTAATAAGTTCTATGCAATCGACTTAATGAAATAAGTATCATTACTTAGTGTGAAACCATCGACTCTTTCATTCCCCTTCATTGTTCTAGAGCTCCTTTAAAAGCAAATTCCCATCCTCATTTCCCGGCGTACATCAAAGGAATGCCATCCCAATTACCAAAGGGTTTTTTGAACAACAAACAAAGGTAGAATAAGTTTTTAATTACTGAAGGAGAAGAAAAGGAATCAGAAGGAAATAATCAAAGCAGGAGATAGTGCATTGAAAACGAACAAAAATGTCAATTTATGATAAGGCACAACAACAAATGTCTGCTGGAATTTTAAATATTAATTGCACCTGTGTTGAGAAATGTTTAATCTTTGTGACAAAAGCAATGTGAAGCATGGGATTCATATGAAAATTTTGCACTTAAAACAAAAAAATGGCAAAGGGTATTTTTTGCCAAGGCAGATGAAGTTATGAAACAGATGTCCAACATAAAATATTGACAAGAACTCAAGTGCGCTACTCGGACAAAAATAAATGCCCACGTTGGAACTAGAAAATATTAGAAATACGACGATGATAAATTGCAGACATAGTGCATATTAAACAACCGAAAAGAATTATATATTCAAAGCCAAAAAATGAATCCGAATTCAGATAAAACCAAAGTAGCCCTACACATAGATACTTCATAGAACCAAGCATCGTAAAAAATTTTACATGCAAAACATTATGTAGAACTAACCTCAGACTGAACTAATACATGTTCATCTTTCAAAGCTCTTTGACGCTTCTGAAAGTTCCTTTGTATCAAGTATGCTCCACCATTCTATGCAGATAAGCAGATCCAATATAGGTTAGGCATCATTTTTCAATTAATCACAACCTAATCTAAATACATTTACCATTGTCTCGAGAAACAGATATGTGTTCATTCACAACAAGAATAATCTAATGGATTAGTTTCAATTGAAAAGACCAACCCTTAAAAACTGAATGTAAGTCCATCCTCAAGATATCATGGCTGTGAATATGAGCAATAATTCCACTTCATGAATTCCACAAAAGAGTGGACTCACAAAACTCCTATGGTGGCTTCCATTTTAGGTTTTAATTGAGAGCAGGCATTGAAATCTTTAATCTCCGCATCAGTATATAATCATGTCCGAAAATCCAGAACATAATATGATTCATCTCAAGCATATTACTCGGAAAATAACCAAAGAAACAAATATTATAACTCACATCATCGTCTGTGAGTTATAGCTCGCAAGCCTTCTAAGAAGAAACCCTCAGGTTTTTAGATATCTTTACTCACCAAAATCAGCTCCAAAATGTCTCAAATCTGCCACTATATATAGGAGAGGAGAGGGAACCAAACAGCCGCCCAATGAATCCAATTAGCAAAGGGGAGGCAGAAGGCCAAAAGGCAGCCAAAGGGAGCATCACCCGAAAAGCCAGCATGACACAACCAATGAACAGCCAACGCAAGGGGGGAAAGAACCGGGCTGGGGGAGAACTGAAAGGCCAAAACAGAGGGGGAATGCTGGCCAGCAATTTAATGAGCTGAAAAAGACAACAGCTTACATAATGAGCTAAAAAAGGTAGCAGAACACAACAGCTCCCCAACTAGGCAGCAAAACCTGAAACAACCAAGCCCAAACCAAGGAACCAAGTCAGCCCAACAGCCATGGCACCAATGAAAATAGCACACCCAAGGCATTGCAAGTCCAAAAGCACAACCTACGCATGATCATAGGTTGCCTTCCATCATAGGGTAGAAAAAAAAAACAAAAACATATAAAATTTAGATTACAATATAAAAAAAGGAAATTTGCATGCATCAGTACTTCATTTATGTATTGCAAGAAAATAGAAACCCACTAAATGAAATTTCACCTTGGACTTTGCTGATTTTATCTTATTTTAGACTGTTTTTCATCTTTCCTGAGAATTCATTCCTTTGATCTTGATCCAAATATTTTTTTAATCTATGAACAAATTTTTTTCTTGGTCAGCTTCATTTTTTTTCTTTTTTGAAATGTATCAAGAGTGACACATGCAGGCATTTTAAGCATTGCAAGTTTTTAACACCACAATAACTTCCTTTCACTTGTTAAAAAAGGAAATAAGGGAATCCATGTTCAAATTTGAGAATTCATTTATAAGTTTTTATTAGCCAAGTTATTAGTTGTATATTTTAAATCATGTTGGCATTAGTGCGCCTGGTACATTCCATCAATGGGAATATTTACTCATTAGGAGGGCAACGGCTTATTGATTCTTAATATTTGGAAAGTCGTAAGAAAGTTCCTTCTATAATAATCATTCATCCTCCTCAAAAAACATATTCTCAAAACTCTCTCTTGGATCATTGTTTTGGGCATGAAGCTGTGGGAGGGACTTGAGAAGATTGCTGATATTTTAGACAGAGGCAAGCAAAAGCTATATGCCCAAGCAGGGAGTTATACTACTTTTTTTTAAAGTCTTCTGTATCTTTTTGTGACTTGTGCCAGCTTTGAAATTTATCAGGGAGCAATGGATGAAAGATAGCAGTTACCGAAGCAACTGAAGTTAGAACCAACTTTGATGACTCCAACAAGAGGCGGCAAGGCCGTGGTAGAGGCCGCTCTACCTCAGGCAGGGGTCGTGGTTCCAAGTCTAGTGATCAAATACGGTCCGTGCCTTTCTCAACTGTTCCACTATCCAATGGCCATAATGAGATTGCATCACAAAAGGTTTTTATTTGCATATTTAATCATATTAATACAAAAGTTACTGTTCCTTTTCTATTCTTGAAATTTGAAGTATATTGTGGAAATAATAATCATAAGTTTTGAATGAGTAGTTAATTATAGCATCTTTGTTTATAGTTTTTCAGCCTGATTTCCCTAAAATGGTGTGCATTTGCTGTTGGTTAGAGTAATTGTGTCCATCTTAATATTTTGAAGTTCATAGCTGCAATTTATAAGTGCATATTTATATTATTTTCCTTCAAGTAAGATGCTAGTCCTTTCATGCAAATAAATGTCTATTTGGAGAAAGAAAACATATATTATCTGGGATTCATAACATAAAGAAAATGGTGCAATTATTTATAGGATATTTAGTATCCTTACACATAATTACGTGATAACTTGCCAAAACAAGCTTGCTAAAACTAGATTCAAATTTGAATTTCGAACAATTGGAATATTCAAAATAATTGTGATATCCAACTTTCCTATCTTTCTTGAGGGTTTGACTCCCATACAGCAAATCCCCTTCCTTATTGTTATAATCCAATTGACTTGCAATAACTTGTTTCCCGTCTTGCTGGTGTGGGATCCCATTTGGAGTTCCTACAATTTCTACACACCCTTGCAATTTGGAGAGTAGATATCACTCAACATCAACTTGCTAGTGAGGGATTCAACACTTGGTTTGAGCAATCCTTTTTGTGAGAATATCTACAATTTATTTAGACATTGGAATTAAAAGTAAACAAATGATTCCTGCCTACGTTTTTTCCATTTTAAAATAACGATCAACCACATATTTGGTTCTACTATTTTGGACATGATTATGAGCTATTGTTATGTAGCTTTGTTGTCACAAGATAGGTTCATTGGAAAATTGATAGTTTTTGTAGTTCCATCAACACCTGTTGTAACCACAATAGTTCATCATATACTGCATTGTATATAACTCTATATTTAGTTTTAGCATTACTCCAAGGTTTTTCCATACATAGGTACAATGACATGTGTAAGATCTTTTGTTTTTTATGGAACCTACCCAATATTCATTTGTATAAGCTTCATTATTACATCTGTTAAGTACCTCAAGATTCTGTATGTAGGCTTTAGATGTTTTTTTTTTTTTTTGTGGTGAATGCATACTTGACTTACTAGGTTAACAACAAAGGCTATTTAACTCTTTTATTGAGCTAATAAATTAATCTTTCAAAGTGATGGTGAAATAGATGGGGATATTATTAGCAAAATTTAAGTTGAATGGTTGAAGTGGAGTAATGCATCGGGCTTGTTGTGTGATAGAAATGCCCCAGTGGAAGATAAGATTAGAGATGAGGATGCTTAGGTGGATGAGTGGCATACTGGCTTTACCCTTATAGATAGAATACGAAATGAGCATATACGTGAAAGGTTGTAGTAGCTCCAGTGGAAGATAAGATTAGATAAAGTTGCCTTAGATGGATTGGCCACTTTAAACGGAGGCCTTTCGATGACCCGGTTAGGAAAGTTGAGGTATTAAAGAAAGGTAGAGGTAGACCTAAAAAGACTTGGTTAGAAAATATTAGAAATGATCTTTCTTTATTAGATTCAAATGAGAATTTGACTTTTAACAGGATACAATGGCGAAAAAGAATTCATGTAGTCGACCCCATGTAGTGGGACAAAGACTTGATGATGATGATGTTGTTGTTGTTGTTGTAATGGTTTTGGTACCAAGTGACATCACAAGTTCTCCATTCTTGTCTTTTTAATTTTTATGTTTTGATCAACTACAACTGCTCATTCTTGTTTCATTAAGAAGATCCAAAAGTTGCCTCCTTCGAGAAACCATAATGTTATTCTTTGATCTTATTCTCTTCATCTTAAGAAAAAAATTTAATACCTTCCAAATCCTTAAGTTGAAATTTTGTTGCTAGACTATTTTTCATCTCATACATTTTATTAATATCATGATATGTGAAGATGATATCATCCACATAAACAATACAGATAGTTGTTTTCTATTCTCTTGAGTGTTTCAAGGACATACTATGATCAGCCTTAGCTTGATTGTAGTCTTATTTTTTTACTGACTAAGTGAAATTTTCAAATCATGCCCTTGAATTGTGTGAGGTCATATACTGACTTTTTTTCAAATTGCATACTTTTGAGTTGAATTTTATTTCAAATATAAGAGGATCCACATAGAATCTTCTTTTATATCTCCATTGAGGAATGCATTCTTGATTTAGCATTGCTAGAGAGGCTAATCAAGGTTTGCTACAATAGATGATAAGACTAATAATATTCAATTTTATCATAGATGTAAATGTTTTCATGTAGTCTATACTCTACAATGAATCCACCACTCAATTGAAGTATGAAGAATGTCCACTCCATATCATGACTTGAGGGACATGTAGGTTTTTGCAAATGTCCAATCCATTAAGTTTAGGAGGCATGCCATTAACAAGGAAATGGATAGCATTATCCTAAAAACCTTTCTTCTTCAAAATTTGTCATTGAGTCTCTTGTTTTATATGATATTCACCAAGGAATTCATCTTTAAGATTTTTAAAAAATTTTCATTTTGGTATAAACTTGATTATACATGTGTCGATTACATTCACATCTGGATGAAGAGCATGTTAACTCCAAAACCTTAACATCAAAATATTGTAGCTTTGAAGTACTATCACTAAATTGAATCCTCCACTCACTCAATTGAAGTATGAAGACACAAGTATAATTGGAAGAAATAATTTGAAAAACAAAAAAATAGTTCCAATAAAATATAAACAAAACAATTTACCTGGAGAATGTTTTGAAGTAATGTCTTTTGTTTTTTGAAGCCCAAAAAGCCTTCCTTATTTCTAAAAGGTGCCGGGTGCATATCAATTATCAACATTTGGTCTTTTAGATGCATCAACAATAAGCTTATCCATGCGATGATAAAATTCAATTTTATCTCAAATTTGTTGATTTATTTTTTGCATATTGAACTTGAGGATTCAGATTGTAGCATGCAAGATGTAAATAGTGATGAAGCTGTAGCTTTCACTTATTATCAATAATATATTATATTCTCCTATAGTTATTCTTTTCTCCTCATAAATTATAAGAAATCAGCTACTTCGCTCCGTCCATTTTATCATATATAAAACCCAATGCAAGCTTCTTCTTAGCATCAATCATCCTCAATACATGAACTAGTTGCTTAGCTATTGCTAACATATATGATACACTCTGCTAGAATCTTTCATTCAATATAATTTTCCTAAATTATTTTCCCCTAGCTTTTCCTAAGCACAACATTGCCACTTGGTCAAAGTAAATATAGCTTCAAAAGAATGTCTGGTCTTCAACACACTCTACAATGTCAAGTAAGCTATATCAAATCTTGTTGCAGCAGGGATTATTATCTTTCTTTGAGAACTTCCTAATCAATGCCAAACCCAAGAATAACTGCCTGTGAATTTGCTGATTTTTGAGGTTTTTCTTAGTATATTATTTGTGCTCAGGCAACTCACCAGCTTATGAAGTATGAGATTTATGCTGCGATCCTATCTAAATTCTTTCTCTTCCCCATTAGCTTTGCTTTCTGGATATCTAAATATATCTCTTATTTATAAGGAAATAAGGAGATTGATGGAGTGAAAAGGTATAAAATGTTATTAAGAGAAATTCACTTACTATGACAAAAGTAAGTACTTCGAGGCTTATACAATAAAAACAATAATATCAAGCCTTTATCCTACTAAGTGGGGTCGGATACATGAATCATTTTTCTCCATTGTATCATGTTAAGAGTCAAATTCTCATTTAAATCTAAAAAATAAGGGTCATTTTTAATATTATATAGCCAACTCTTTTTAGGTCTACCTATTTTGATATAAGCCAAATCTAATTCATCTACTCTCCTAACCAGGTTATCGAACAAAACATATAAGGCAGTGGAGTTGCTCAAACCTTTTCACATTTATGCTTGTTTCGTATTCTTTCTATCAAAGTAAAGCCACTCATCCACCTGAGGATCCTCTTCTCTTCAACGCTTAATTTTAGGCTTCTCTTTTAAAGGACAACGTTCTATGCCATAAAGCATTGCAGTTCTTACTATCATCTTATAACATTTTCCCTTAAGTTTGAATGTTACTTTTCTATCACAAAACAAGCCTGATGCATTCCTCCATTTCAATCATACAACTTAAATTCTACTATTAATATTCCCATCTATTTCACCATCACTATGAACAATAGACCCGAGATATCTAAAATATTTACTATTAAATGACTTTATCGCCCGAAGTCACAATCTCCTCACTAAATCTTTTACTTCTAAAATTACACTTCATGTATTCGGTTTTAGATCTACTAAAATGAAAGCCTTTAGAATCATAGGTTGACCTCCATAATTCAATTTTAAGTTCAACTCCCTCTCTAATCTTATCAACAAGAAGAGTATCATCAACAAAAAGCATACACCAGGGTATATCTTGTTGCAAATGTCTAGCATGAACATCCACGACTAAAGCAAATAGATACGGGCTTAAGGCTGGTCCTTTATGTATGAGCTATGGGTTTTGCAAAGATGTAGCGAGCAACGTAACAACTACAATTAAAGCAAAGGATGAGATTTAGGCTTCTTATAATATTCGATGCTTCAGATGGACAATGATATTAGGTTTTAGACGGACACCTTCATATCGCATTGCAGTGCAAACTAATTGCCAAATGTATTTTTCCTTTTTTGGGAAGACGGTAACCTTTATTTTGTCACTCCATCTTAACTTGATTAATTGATGTGACCTATAGCTTGCATCTCAAAGATAGAATCATTGCAATTTATTTTAACTTATTTGGTTTTTATGTGTGTTTATGATGTCTATTCTTGTTCATTTGTGTATTTTTTTCTCTCTCTTGTCTCTCTTGCACCATCTAAATAGAATACAAATTTATTTCCCATCCTTCTTTTTTAAGACAGTTATGAATCACTTGGAAAGGAAAGCACTATTACATTTTAGATCATTGTGTTTTATTTTTGGGCAGGAGAGTTGGTCAAGTGAACAGCCTGCGATTGATGAGAGACTTGTTTTACAGGTAAATGTTATGACTTTTTTTGTTTCAACTTGCTATATACGTTCTACAAAAGAATTTGCTTTTCATGTTTATTCGTTATTATATAGCTATTATTGAGTATCTTTTGGTTGATTTTTTAGCTTGACTTTTTAACAAGATGCTCTAGAAATCATAAATGTATGTCATTATGCATGTTTCTTTAACAAGTGAATAAATGAATGCATTCTTTTAGTGACACATTGGAGTAATTGATATGTAAGTACGATTTCTCAAAGGCTAAGGTTATTTTCTATTTTCTTTTAACGAGTGAATAAGTGATTGCATTCTTTTAGTTGCACCTTAGAGTTATTGATACGTAATTAAGTTTGTGGGAAGTATGTTTTGTCAAATGCTAAGGCTATTTTCTGTTTTCCCTGCACATTGCTAGAATATTTCTTTGGTTAAAAAATAATTTTATATAAGTGTGCTATTGCACGTGCCTTCTGTTTTGCTATTTGCTAGATCATGAACTCTATTTGCCCTAAAAAGAAATTTACTAATATCTATTCAATCTGAATGGGATAAAAAAGTAAAATAAATGCTTTAATTCAACCTTAAAAATTTGCTTCTTATAGAAATAATTTTAACTAAGCATTTCTTCCACAATAGCATGGTGGGTCACCATTCTTGTAAATTTTTACCTTTTTGGGGTTTATTATTGCCTTTTTTGTGTCAAACTATTTTCTTATTTAACTTCTTTTAAATATAAATTTAGGAGGAGATGCATTTATTACGTAGTAGAGTTGCTTCATTGGAAGCGGAACTTGGAAAATCCCACCAAGAAAATGTTGATAGTCAGCAACTTTGTCGCCAATTTGAAAAGGTGGAGTGTATTTGATAATATGACTGTCTTCTTTCTTGACTAATGTTTTGCAAAAATGGTTTATTTATTTATTTTCTCAGGAATTGAAGGACCTAAAAGAGCATGATCAACAAATGAAAATGAAGGTTGCATTTTAATATTTTGCATCTCATGTTTTAGCAACTTCTTTTCTTGTCACTTATGTTGATTAGAAATATCTTTACCCCTGAAACATCTTTTTTAGCATTTTTGAGGATAGGTGAATGAAGGAAGATGCACTTAAGGGCAGGACTCTCAAGTTTATACCTAAAATAAGAGTGCACATGAACTTAGCACATACTACGGAACAACTAGGTCAAAGATTTAAGGCTGAAGAAATAATAATATGATGCTTCGACAACATCCTCAATGTAACTTGATAGTAAATGATATGAGAAGGCATTCTATTTATAAGGAAGACAATAACCCCAAAAGAGTCTAGGAACATCCATCGCAAAGCACTAGAGCCACCTCATGGATATATTGGTTCATACTTTTGGCTTATGCCATTTTGTTGCAGTATGTAGATGCATGTTAGTTTTTGGAGGATGCTATGCTCTTTGAATAAATTTAGTAGTGATTGATTCAGAAATTCCCACCCATTACTAGGGTGAAAAGCATGGCTTGGAGCTTCAAACTGTGTGACAAGCATTTTTGAAAATTGAGAAATAACATCTATATAAACACTCTTGATTGGTGATAGAAGGAATAGAATTAATATCCCAAATATCAATGTAAATTTACGTCAAAGGAAGAGAGACTTTTATTGAAGCCTTTGTCAAAATGTACTCAATCGTTTCTACCCTAAATGCATTGTGCGCACCTTAAACTGAACATTCCAAAATAGTTTAGGAAGGCTCTAAATAAGAGAGGGATTTTTGACCTGAATGAAAATGCCGCAAATAAATCTTCTCTCTATCTGATGTTCTTCTCGCTACTTGAAAACCACATATACACTAAGATTTTATCTCCATTTTCCCTTGAAAATACCCTTCCTTCCCTAGCCAATGCCAATCATCTTTTTCATTAAACTATCCTAAAGCTAATAATGAGTAGAATGTATGGTTACATAAAAATTAAGATGTTTAGTGATCTTATGGAGAGGAGACTATTAAAGATATTATGTTCCAATAAACAAAAGGCTTGGAGAATTAAAGTGAGACATTCCTTGGCCTTGAGATTCAGATGGGGTCCCATCAACAACTTGAACGGACTTAGAATGTGAATGTATTGGAGAGTAAAGTAGAATTACTATTCATATAATCAGTGGCCCCTCGATCAATAACCCAACTGTTAGTGAAAGTAGACATAAAGGTAAAATTTGGGGTCGTTTCAATTTGATTGAACCTTGTCGATCCTATCAACTTACCGATAGGGGATCAGGTTTCATAGGCTTTGTGCCATTGTTTATGAATTTTCTTTGTTAAAAGCCTTGAAGGCCTAATATGAATGTATAAGATAAATATTCCGGTCGATATCATGACCGTATATTTATCTTATGGCTCAAACCCTGTCTACTCCTATTTACCTGCTTAGGAGGATCGGGTTTCGTAGGCTTCGTGCCTTTTTTAGTGAATTCTTATTGTTATAGGCCTTGACGACCTAATATGAATGCAATAAAACAAATATACCAGCCATCGCGACCGTATACTTGTTTGTTGGTTCGAACCCTGTCGACTTTTATTGACCCGTATAGAAGGATCGGGTTCGAACTTGAATCCACTTATCGACCCGCGCAGCATCCCTAGACGTCACGTGTGTTCCTACGACATGCTCGCCGGGGCCCATACGGGTCGAGATTATATTTTTTCCCTTTAGTGTACTTATGTGTATACAATTTATAGTGTACGTGCAGGGGTACTTTGAAATAATTATAATTGTGCATATAACTATCATTTGGATGCACACGACTTTTCATTTAAGAGCTTATACATGCCTTCTGTCCACTAGTACGAGTGTTGCGGATCCGGTGGCGGTATGATCTTGATGTTATGAGGCATCTCCTCATTTTGATGTTGACTCCCTCCTTTCTCATTCACCGGGGAGGGCTTCTTTCTTGACTTTGAAATCCGCTGCTTTGAAAATATCTCCTTTTGAGATCACCAGTGTAGTGGACTTATTATTTTTTATATTTGTGGATGCAAGCATTATTTCCTTCCTAAGTACATGATCAAGAAGGAATTTTGGAACACTAAGAAGTTTAATTCGAATTTGCTCAAACATCTCTTCCATTCTGCCAGGAGTTGTCCTTTTCGTACATAGAGTCGCCCTTGTAGCCAACATTCTTGAAGATCTTAATCATCGTTGTCATAGGTGATATATGTACTTGTGCCCACAGTGGTTCGTTGTATCTGCAATATACCCACTGTTGTTATCCACAAGCATTCATTTGCAGGGAATCGTTGTATTCACTACGACCTTCTGGAAGTATTTGTAGAAGAACCATTGTCCTTGCACCATATCCACCTTTCACCAATCTCAGGTGGGTTTTGCTTAGTGTACTTGTTTGCAGGGGGCGAGTCCTCTACTATTGAATGCTGGCATTGCCATCTCAATCTACAGGCATTGATATTTATGTTGGAGATTCAAATGGTGCATATGAGAGGGACACCTATGCATTTCATTCTTGTAGGTACGGCGCTCCCGATCCAAGATCAATGTATTTCATCTGTCCATGAGTCACCATTGACCGCACAAAGGTTCTTTAAATTCCCTCGCGTATGATTCAAGCTTTATTCCTTCTATGTGTTTAGATCCGAGCTCAGTTTCATTTAGACTTGAGTTCAAACTTAGTATGAGTCTCCCACATTCATTCAGATCTTCTATTGTCATACTGAATTCATTTGGATTTGAATCAAATGCTTGCAAATCCAAATTTCACTCGGCGTCATACAATATAAGTTCAAATGCACAAGTTCTTGTCGTCCACATCTTGTTCTAGCTTTGACTTCAGAGTACAAGTTCAAGTTGATTGTTCAGAGTCTTCTGAAGTCTTTGCAGGTACAATTTCATATTCGGATTGATTTGAGTCTGGTTCCAATTTGATTTTATTTTATTTGGATTTGACCTTTTAGAAGTCATTTAGATTTTGTTCAGGTTCAAAATATGAGCCATCCCACAATGCTACTCGAGCGTCTATGGTAGGTGTCAGGGGACACCGGACTGTACATTTTTCATCCCACCACGATATTAGAGCGTGTATGGGGCCTTCAATAGTATCCGTAGGCGAGCACAAGTGAATCTCCCCACCACGCTACAAGAGCGTGTATAGGGCTTACCCACTTCATCGTATGCGTCGCACCGGGCTCCCTCCTACTATGCTACGAGAGCGAGTATAGGTGGTTCCCCGGTTCGCAGCAAACACCGAAAATGGGATTTAAAGTGATTACCCTCCTCGTCGTAGGCGCTGGGCCAGGTTTCCTCCCACCGTGCTACGAGAGCGGTATAGGGCGTTCGTCGGTCTGCCGTGAATGACGAAAATCGGATTTTAGGCGATTACCTGCCTCGTCATAGGCGCCGGACCGGGTTTGCTCTCAATTTGCTACGAGAGCGCGTATAGGGGGTTTGTCGGTCTGCCGCGAATGACGAGAACGAGAATATGAGTTTTAGAAATTATACCTTCGGGGTCGGCGACTCGTGGATCGAGGCGGGGCAAGAGAAACAAGCCCTTCCCTTTTCTTATCTTTTTTTTCGTCATAGGCGCCGGACCGGGTTTGCTCTCAATTTGCTACGAGAGCGCGTATAGGGGGTTTGTCGGTCTGCCGCGAATGACGAGAACGAGAATATGAGTTTTAGAAATTATACCTTCGGGGTCGGCGACTCGTGGATCGAGGCGGGGCAAGAGAAACAAGCCCTTCCCTTTTCTTATCTTTTTTTTCTTTTTGATTAATTATAATAATAATTAAACAATTATAATTTATAATTAATTATTAATTATCAACTAATTATAATTATTAATAATTAATTATAATTAATCAAAATTAATTATAATTAATAACTAATTACTAATTATTAATTAATTGTAATTAAGTAACTAATTATATAAATAATTATTATAATAAATTAAAATTCGTTCTGCGGATTTACTGGAGTCGGCCGAAGAAGTGTCCGAAGGGAGGAAAGTTACCTTCACTGCGGACAAGCTGTAGTGGCTACCTCTGATCAAAATGTCGGAACTTCCGATCCGGCCGGGAGAGGAAGTCGACGAAGAGCGAAGTCGATCAGCCCTGGAAAGTCGGAGAGGCACGCGAAGGGTAGAAAGTTATCGTTAACAGCCAGCGAACTCACCAAGAGATCTCAAGGTGGGGGGAAGGGGATTTTGTGGAGCTTCTAATGAGAGAGAGATGGTGAACGAATAAACATAAAATAAACTAGAGAACTCACCAAGAGATCTCAAAGGAAGAACTCACTAAGAGATCTTGTTATGCACTCACAAAGAGAACAAAAGGGAGCAATTTTCATTTCATTCATCAATAATC